ATTATTACCTGGCAAGTTTTTAAACTTGTAAAAGCCAATGCAATCACTGACAATATTAATATAGAGTGCAGGATTCTCAAATTTGAAGGATTTTAAGAATCACCTGGGGAGTGTTAAAACTGTGGCTGCGCAGGCTCCATTCAGACTTTCTGACCAAATCTCTAGGTGGGCAGGAATCTATAATAAAACCGTAACATGCAGCCGAAGCCGGTTTGACTCAGCGGATGGAGCCTCGGTTTGACTCAGCGGATGGAGCCTCGGCCTGCAGACTGAAGGGTCCCGGGTTCAATTCCAGTCAAGGGCAAGTACCTTGGTTGCGGGCACATCCACAGGGGGGGGGGGGTTGTGTGTGCAGGAGGCAGCTGATCGATGATTCTCTCTCATCTCATTGATGTTTCTGACTCTCTATCCCTCTCCTCTCTCTTCCTCTCTGTGGAAACCAATAAAATATATTTAAAAAAAAAAAAGCGTAATATGCAAACTGACTAAACCGCCAAACAGCTGACTGTCAGGACGACCTTCCAGACAAAGCCGGGGCTGCAAGGGGGCGGCTGTGAGCGCCAAGGCAGCGGCGGGGCTGTGAGGGCCTCTCTTGCACAAATTTTGTGCATCGGGCCTCTAGTAAATTTGGCCGTTTATTTTTTAACAAGCTCCCCATTGAGTCTGGTGACTTGATTACTGCTACTAGTCCTACATTATTATTAATATTAACTGTATGTGTTGTATATTAATTAATCCATTCATTGTATGCTAGCCACTATTCACAGCACCCTACATATATTATCTCAGTTAATCCTTTCAACAACCTTGTAAATAAGCACTACTATTACCACCGTCCTCCTTTCATCCTCATTCTATAGGTAAACATTAAAATACAGAGATGATTTACTAGCTCATGGCATAATGTCACAGAGCTAATATAGTGGCAGAGCCAAATGCACAATGAAGTTGGAAATCGTTGATACAGTTTTCTAACCTAAGACAACAGTTATAGATGCTGCTCAAGTCACATCAAACTGTTTTATTTTAACCACATATAAAGGATACTACCGTGTTTCCCCGAAAATAAGACATCCTCTGAAAATAAAACCTAGCGCATGGAAAGATAAGACATCCCCTGAAAATAAGACCTAGCTCAACTTTGGGAGAAAAAATTAACATAAGACACTGTCTTATTTTCGGGGAAACAGGGTAACAAAACCAGAGTTGTCTAGAGAAAGCATGCTGAAGTCATTAAACCAAGAAGGATTTACACACTTCCAGTATAACCAGCATCAATTCATACCATTTCATCTGTCAGCCCCTAAACTGTGAGCCCCTGAAGAGTGAGGACCATGTATGTCTTCAACTGTACTCTCATGGTACCTGGTGCCTCACTAAAGAAAGGTTTAATAGAGGAACTCATCAACAAATCTACAAAAGGCCTGATGACTGTCCTAGGAAATGAGAAGGCACATGCCGAAGATCAGACTGCAGTAAGCAGAAAGTAGGATATTCACCGGGGGATCACCCTCTAAGAACTTTTTCAAGACTCAAATTCTATTATTCTAAGTTATGATATGTTGATTTATTCTTCCAAACATTCTACAGTTACACAAGTCCCAGGAGTAAGCAAAGGGGATACCACAAAGTGTTCTACAAACTCGCAGGCCCTCAAGGATCTAGACCAGAGTGAATGCACAAGAGTGGCCTTCCCAGGAGAAAGGTAATGAATACATCCAATAGGAAACAGCAAGGAGTGGAGACTTCCAGGCTGGAGATAGGAAGAAAGTCAGCAAAAATGTAGAGAAAGACAAGCCACCATTTGAACTAGGTCTTTAGGGAACCATGAGGAGACGCAGACTGGGACTGCCCTCGGATCTGAGGACTGCCACAGAGTGTGGGGAGGAAAGCAATCCATTTGGCAGTAAAGTCTGAGCATGAAGGAGAGGAGAACCAAGATGGCGGCCTGTACTTGCTGCCTCCCGCAGCCATATCAAAATTACAACTAAAATACAAAACAGCTATCATCCAGAACCACGAGTAAGCTGGCTGAGTCTACAACTAGAGAGGTTTGACAATTTCATAATAAAATTGACCAAAAATTGCTACATGGAACCTGGAATCTTTTATCAGTTTTTGATTTATATTCTGAACAATGCAATGCCAAGAGAGAATGAACAGGGAAATAATAATTAAGCATGGTGTAAAAATATAGAGCCCTTTTAAAAACAATGAACAGCACAAATTTGTATCAGAGTGGCAAGGAGTAAACTTTTAGTCATCAAAGATAAAAAAAAAAAGAAGAAGAAGAAGAGTAGCCGTGGGTGGTAAAACAATCACTAAATTCTGGTGCTAAAACGATCAGTCCGTTAGAGATCATTTAGTCACACACATACATTTTTTATCCTGAATGCACTGGGTAAAAAAACATTAGATTAATTTCTTAAATTACATTTTAAAAACCAAAAACTATTTCATCAATGATTTCTTCTTTAAAAAAAAAAAGTTTTATTGATTTCAGAGAGAGAGAAAGAGAGAGAGAGAGAGAGAGAGAGAGAGAGAGAGAAACATCAATGATGAGAACGAATCATTGATCAGCTGCCTCCTGCACAACCCCAACTAGGAATGAATCTGGAAACCCAGTCGACACTCAGCCACTGAGCCACACTGGCTGAGCAATGATTTCTTCTAATATAGCTTTTTGTTTAAGACTAATGATCCTTCTCTTATTTTCTAGGAAATCTTTTAGATGATTGTTTTTAAACATTTGTTATTTTTTGCTATTGTCTACTTTTTCCACTATTCAATATGACAATTTAATAATGCATTTATTAAAATAAACTGAATTTCAGTAACTCAGCTCTAAGTGTAATATTTATAATCCCCTAGTTATATTTGCTAATAGTACTACAAAATAAAATGTATTATGGAATAATCTAAAAACTATGAATTTCAAGTAGGAGACTGTTAATACTATATAGAGTCTCAAAGACAAATTTAAGTGTCTGATCCAATAAACTATCTCACCCAACTTATAAATCATGAGACTGAAGCACTTAAAGAAATAGAATTAACAAAAGACTGAAGCAAATTATCTCAATCCAAAACCAGTAAACAAAATATAACACATTTGAACAATAAGCTTAATGTTCATCTGGCCAATCATTCTCAACATCCCTGTCAAACTATTTTAAGGATCTGAAATCTTGCTCTATAAAAAGCAAGTTCCCATCATCTGAACGACCCGAGGTTCTCTCACAGAAGCGCACGCCAAGTTTTACATTTTTGCTTCCTATTAGTACAAGAAAATGCCTATCCCTTTCACATAGAGTTGAGTCTGTGGCCAAAATCCTGACACACGAGGAGATCTGGGTTCGGTTCTAACACTAAAATGTCAGTTTAGCAAAAGGCCTTTTCTTTATTTGCCACTTAGATTATATGGTGATCCAGTTTTTGACACCTCCACCACCAACGGTCTCTTCAAAGGATTTCTGACTTAGTTAAGAAAATGTAAAGCTATGGCTGAAAACGCAATAAAAAGTGAAACTTTAAAAGTCTAAAACGGTGCTATAGGTTAGCTAACAAACTATGAATTACAGAAAGGAAGGTCTGAGTAACAATTGCTAAAAAGAAAAAGTTACCTAAGTTTACAAACATGAAGATGCAAACAGCACACCAAAACTTAAATCTTTCTTAGCAAAGAGAAGGTAAATAACATGGAGTGACACTGGGACATGGTGGTGTTATTTTCGTTATTTACATGTCTGCCTGCATCAATGTTGCTCTTCTCCCACTCCCTGGATGAGCAAAAGGAGCCCACTGTCCCGGAGTCTTCATAGCAAGTGCTCAGTGTATGTGGCAAATAACAGTCACAGAGGCAACTTTTAAAGCCGGAATTTGTACCAGACTGAGGCACCCGCATTCGGTGTAAGGCACATGCCAGCATGCAACTATGTCTCCCTCCAGACGCTTCTGCATCGCTGCCTCCCCGAGGACCGGCGAGGCCGCAGCTCTCGCTGCCACATCTACCTCCCAAGTATCGCGTTTAGGGGGCCACAGGGCCCGCGGTCGGTCACTATGGAATGAACGAGCCGAACCCCAAGACGGAGACACTGGCCCAGACGCAATAAAACATGCTTTCAAGGCTCCCCCTAACTTTTCTTTTAATTTAAAAAACAAACATAATTGTTTTTAAAACATTACGTAATAAGTTAGAAGCTAGAAAACCCCAGACCCCACGGAGCGGCTCAGAATATGGAAAGCCAAATTCGATGAGCTCCATTGTACCGGCCCGGCTGAGGTGCAGGATCACTCTCATCGCCAGCGCCTCTGCCGATTCCAAAGCACAACAAAGGCGAGCAGAGGCGGCCGCCCGGGCTCAGCTCCGCACCGGTCCGCACTCCCGGCCGGGAGCGCCCTGCGGGCCCGGGACCGCGGGGACCCGCCGCCCGCGCCCCGCGCCCCGCGCCCCGCCGCGCCGCCAGCTCAGCTTTTGTCTGGCCGGGCCGGGACCCGCCGCCTCCCGCACCCTTCCCTCCGGACCTCCCTCCCTCCACACCCATCACTCGCCGGCAGGCTGTCGGGGGTTTCTCCCCCTCGCCCCCTCCCCTTGCGATTCCGGGGTCTCTCCAAACGCGAAAGGGGGTTCGCCGGCTTCTCCCTCGGCCGGGCTGGGCTGGCCAGGGGTGGGGTCCGGGACAGAAGAGAAAGGGGCACACAAAGCGAGCTGACCTCACAGCCGGCCCCCTCCCCCAGCCTCTGCAAAGCAGCCTGGGACCGGCGATCCACGGCTGGAAAAACAACCCTCCCATCCCGCTCCACGCCGGCTCCCACCTAGGGCCGCCCCATCCCCCCAGAGCGCGCCCGGGAGCCGATGACGGGGCTGGACATCGCCCCCGCCCCGTCCCGGCGCCTCCGCCGCGGGAGGCCGGGGGCCTGGGGGGGCCGGGGTCTCAGCCTCCACGCCCTCACCGCAGACTTGCAGCCGTTTTATTCGCTCGAGTGGCCACTTGCCTTACCAGATCGCCGCCGCCTTCTCCTCCACCCTAATGAGGTTAAGTGCTTGGTGCGGGGATTAAAAAAAAAAAAAAAAAAAAAAAAAAGTGCCGAGAGCGCCTGCGCGCCGCGCTCTCCCTTTTTCTCCTTACCGCCACCGGCCCAGCTGGACCATAGAGACTAAGCCGAGGCCAGAGCGGCGGCTGCCTCTCTATGGTCACGCCCCGCGCAGGCGCAGGCCTGGCCGCGCCGGACGTGGGGAGCTGGAATGCCGCGAGCTTGCGCCCCTCGGAGCGCTTCGGTTGACCCTGACGGGGACCCGTAGGGTGAAGGTTCTCTGAGGAGTTGTGGTCCGGGTGCAGGTGGCCCTTGGGAACTTGTGACAAACTGGGCTAGACTAGGAGGGTTGGTCTAAGCGGCCAGGCGGCAGGGCAGCAGAGAGCAGGCCGGGTGGCGGGCGGGGCCCGGGAAGGAGGAGCCTCCTCCGGCGGCGTCCAGTCCTGCAGGAGCCGGCTTCCCACTTCTGGGCGACGCGCGTCCCGCCCGCCGCGGGATGAGGAGATCGCGCCCTGCGGCTTTCCATACCGCGTCCCTCTCCTTCCTTTCCGGAGTGGGCGGCGACCTGGCGCCGGAAGCACAGCTTTTTAGCGGTTCTTTGACCTTGTTGGAGCGGAGCCTGTTGGGGGGGAGCCTCGAAGACCTTTGGTTCGAGTGTGTCCTCCACGGTGCCCTGCCCGCCCTCCGTCACCCGCCGGTGGTTCTCCGGGGAAGTGCTGCGGAGGCCGGGAAGGCCGCGGGGTTGGGAGGCTGCACTTAGGGTTTGGCCGCGCGGGACCTGCGCTCGCCGGGAGCTTGGCTTTGTAAGCTTTGTGTGGATTACACACCGCCTCGTGGGAATCGCCAGCTCCACCGCCAGCTCATCGCGGAGCCCAGCGCATTGGATGCTCACTGGTCGCTCCTGTGTGCCACACCCCGTGTTGGGGAAAGTGTCTGCGTTGGGGGAAGGGCGAGGGAGAACTGCAGGGAAATGCCCTGATATTTCCGCGTAAATGTAGGGCTGAAGAGACAGCTAAGCCAGTAAAATCCAGTGCAGGCCCCTCTGGTGCAGAAGAGCGGTCCGTAGAAATAGGGATGACATGGGGAATTTGATTCCTGAAATCTAGAAGAGGTAACACCTTTAGGGCGAAAGCACAAGCAACCTTTTGAAAATGGAGAGTTGATGAAAGCATTCCAGAGAAGAAACCATGCGGCAAAGGCCCAGGCAGTGGGTGTTATACTGGGGATAAAATGAAGAGAGCCGACTGAAAGGCAAAATGCACATGTGACAAGTGGAAAGTAAGGTTTGATGAATGAAATGGGGGATTTAAATCTTTCAAAGTGTAAATAAACAGCATAAAATTTACTGTTAGCCATTTTTAAGTGTACAGTAGAGTTAAGGACACAATATTATACAACATCCCCTTAACCCCTGCTCTTATAAAGTGAATTCTGTACTTAGTCCTCTTTCCCTCAGCTCCTGGCGACCACCATCCTACTTTCTGTCTATAAATTTGACTACTCAGGTGCCTCATGTAAGTGGAATAATACAAACATTTTTTTGTGTGTCTGTGACTGGCTTATTTCACCTAATATAACATCTTTAGTGTTTACACATGTTGTAGCATGTGTCAGAATTTCCTTCTTAAGATTGAATAATATTCCATTGTTTACACTTGGGTTACTTGCACCTTTTAGCTATCCTATCCAATAAAAGATTAATATGTAAATTAACCATCACTGCCAGGCCCACAAACCAATCAGAGTGAGTATGCAAATTAGCATCAACCAAGATGACTACAGCCACAGAGAGCAGGAGGGAGGTTTGGATTTCCCCGGCAATGGAGGAAACCAAGCTTTCCATACACCCTGGCAAGCCCAGGTCTCCACTCAAGGGTACAAAGTTTCAATTAAAGAAGATAAATTCCAAGAAAAATGGCGGCAGCCACAGAGCTGGAAAGAGTAGGCTAGGGTTTCCCCTGTTGATGGAAGAAGCCAAGCTTTCCACCTGCCCTGGTCTGCCTAGGCCTCCACTCCAGGCTACAAAGTTTCAATTATAGGTGAATAAACCCCAATAGAAATAGATGCTGCCGTCGAAACCGGTTTGGCTCAATGGATAGCGTGTCAACCTGTGGACTGAAGGGTCCCAGGTTCGATTCTGGTCAAGGCCATGTAACGTGGTTGCGGGCACATCCCCAGTAGGGGGTGTGCAAGAGGCAGCTGATCGATGATTCTCATCGATGTTTCTAACTCTCTATCCCTCTCTTCCTCTCTGTAAAAAATCAATAAAATATATTAAAAAAAAAAAAAAAAAAGAAAGAAAGAAAGAAATAGATGCTGCCACTGAGCAAACAGATGGCTTTGCTTCACTCCAGGCTACAAAGTTTCAATTATAGAAGATAAATAAACCCCAGATACCAGGGCGTCAGCTTGGGTTGCCAGGGGCATGACCAGTCTGCAAACCACTACAGACCCCACACCCAGGCTGCCCCACGCCCCAGCAGGACCCCCACCCTGATTCAGGACACCCTTCAGAGCAAACCAGCTGGCTCCCCACCAGAGCACCAGCTCTCTATCTTAGCTAATAAAAGAGTAATATGCAGATTGACCAGCACTCCAACATAAGATCAAGATAGCTGCCCCCATGTGGTCAAAGATCCTGCCCCCATGTGGAATAAAATGCTCACCACAAGATGGCCAGTAGGGAAGGGCAGTTAGGGGTGACCAGGCTGGCAGAGGAGGGAAGTTGGGGTCAAACAGGCTGGCAAGGGACAGACATGAATCAGGCTGGCAGGACAGTGGTTAGGGGGTGATCAGGCTGGCAGGCTGAAATGGTTAGGGGCAATCAGGAAGGCAGGCAAGCAAGCAGTTGGGAGCCAGCAGTCCTGAATTGTGAGAGGGGAGTTGGACTGCCCTAAATGGGCAGTAGGACATCCCTCGAAGGGTCCCAGATTGGAGTGGGTGCAGGCTGGGCTGAGGGACACCATCACTTGTGCACGAATTTCGTGCACCAGGCCTCTGGTCTACACTAATAAATATGCAAGTTGACCATACTGTCTCACCACCCACCGGCCAATCATGAGTATGGATATTAACCCAACAAAGATGGCAGGTTAGTTTGCATACACAGGGGGTTGGGGGAGACACAGGCATTCTGCATCACCCCAGTAGCTCTAGGCCTCTGGGCAGCATGGGAAGGCGGGAAGGCGACCCCGGGCCGGAGCGAAGGCGCTGGTGGCAGCCAGGGGAAGGAAGGCCCATTTTTTTTTTCTTTTTCTTTTGATATATTTCATTGGTTTTTTACAGAGGAAGGCAGAGGGATAGAGAGTTAGAAACATTGATCGGCTGCTTCCTGCACACCACCCACTGGGGATGTGCTGGCAACCAAGGTACATGCCCTTGATCAGAATTGAACCCGGGATCCTTCAGTCCACAGGCCGATGCTCTATCCACTGAGCCAACCCAGCTTAGGCAGGAAGGCCCATTATTGCACGAATCTTCGTGCATCGGACCTCTGGTTGTGAATAATGCTACTATGAACATGGCAGCGCATAACTCTTTGCTCTCAATAGGATGGAGAAATTTTTGAAACCAAGGGGAGAAATCTATACAGTTTCAGGTTCTTCACTTGGGATAATAACAAAGTGAAAAAACTGTTTTTAGAAAGTGACTTTTGACAGTGGGAGCTTAATACATATTTCCTTTATATAAAGCAATTATAGAGGGTTTAAGATATGCCATACATTGACTACTACTTTAGATAAATTATTGATATATCATTAAACATCAAGATAAACATGAGCCAATTGTTATTTACTACACTTTGTAGGTGGGAAAATTGAGTTATGGGGTTACAGATGGGCTGAGTGGAGACCACATGCCCACAAGTAATCATGAAACAAAACTCCCATGGGAGCCCAGCTCCATGGCCACTGACTAGTCGCTAGTTTGGATAAGAATATTGAAAGAAAGTATTCACGTGTCAAGAGTGAATGTTCTATGCCGAAACCTGTTTGGCTCAGCGGTAGAGCGTCGGTCTGCGGACTGAAAGGTCCCAGGTTCTGTTCCCGCCAAGGGCATGTACGTTGGTTGTGGGCACATCGCCAGTAGGGGGTGTGCAAGAGGCAGCTGGTCATTGTTTCTCTCTCATTGACGGTTGTAGCTCTCTATCTCTCTCCCTTTCTCTCTGTGAAAAACCAATAAAATACATTTGGGAAAAAAAAAAAAAAAAAAAAAAAAAAAGAGTGAATGTTCTGCCCTAACCGGTTTGACTCAATGGATAGAGTGTCGGCCTGTGGACTGAAAGATCCCAGGTCCGATCCTGGTCAAGTGCATATACCTTGGTTGTGGGCACATTCCCAGTAGGAAGTGTGCAGGAGGCAGCTGATCAATGTTTCTCATTGATGTTTCTAATTCTCTATCCCTCTCTTTTCCTCTCAATAAAATATATATTTTTAAAAAGACACCAGGCCGTAACTGGTTTGGCTCAGTGGATAGAGCGTCGGCCTGTGGACTGAAAGATCCCAGGTCCGATCCTGGTCAAGTGCATGTACCTTGGTTGTGGGCACATCCCCAGTAGGGAGTACGCAGGAGGCAGCTGATCAATATTTCTCTCTCATCAATGTTCCTAATTCTATCCCTCTCCCTTTTTCTCTGTAAAAAATCAATTTAAAAATATATTTAAAAAAATAAAGACTCCACTTTCTAGTTAACACTTCATCTTTAATTTTACATTCTCAAACATCCTGAGAGATTATTTAAGCAATAATTTCCTTTTGGCAGGTGAGGAAATTGAGGGCCAGAAAGGGAAATTATTTATCTAATATATGGCTGACTGGTACCAAGACTGCACTGAAGGCTGAACGTCTAGAGTTCCCTCTCTGTGCTTTGGGCTCCCTTGCAAAGATAGGTACCAGTGGACAATGTTTCTGTTCAGTCAGTCTCCTCTTTCTCAGGAGTACATGAAAACTCCCATGAAGCTAGTGCTATTTAAACTGTGCACCATGAACAGCATTCATACACTAAAAAAGATTGTGTGCCAAACACCAAGGCAGGAAAAAAATCGCTGTTTGTGTAAGAATTAGAAAAATAATAAAATATATCGGATAGGGTAAGTATTGTGGGGAAAATGAAGCAGTAAGGCAGTAAAGGAGAACTCTGAGGAAAGATTTGTGTTTCCTCAAGAAGGTATATATAGCCGAAACTGGTTTGGCTCAGAGGATAGAGCATCAGCCTGCAGACTGAGGGGTCCAGGGTTCAATTCTGGTCAAGGGCATGTACCTTGGTTGCAGGCGCATCCCCAGTAGGGGGTGTGCAAGAGGCAGCTGATCAATGACTCTCTTTCATCGATATTTCTAACTATCTCTCTTCCTCTCTGTAAAAAATAAAT